TATGCATTCTTATTCTTCTACAGCTTTATACACTCTTATTCTTCTACAGCTTTATACACTCTTATTCTTCTACAGCTTTATGCACTCTTATTCTTCTACAGTTTTATGCACTCTTATTCTTCTACAGCTTTATGCACTCTTATTCTTCTACAGCTTTATGCACTCTTATTCTTCTACAGCTTTATACACTCTTTCTCTTCTACAGCTTTATACATTCTTATTCTTCTACAGCTTTATACATTCTTATTCTTCTACAGCTTTATACACTCTTATTCTTCTACAGCTTTATGCACTCTTATTTTTCTACAGCTTTATACATTCTTATTCTTCTACAGCTTTATACATTCTTATTCTTCTACAGCTTTATACATTCTTATTCTTCTACAGCTTTATGCACTCTTATTTTTCTACAGCTTTATGCACTCTGATTCTTCTACAGCTTTATGCACTCTTAAACAGTGCAATATATAGTCCATTTATGTCTTTATTCTCACGTCATTTCACAATGTCTCACCAACACCTTGTTTTAATGTACCACAAAATAGCCATATAACTACCATAAAACGAAATGCCTAATGAGACTTTGCTGATGACGTACAAGCTCTGTAAATTTTGGATCGATTAAAATCTAATTTGAAATTGTAGAGGGAAACAGTAAGTCTATACTGTACAAATTTATTTGAGTCTCAAAGGATGTGCTGGGACTTTAATAGAAATTATATTAAGCGAGTTAGCAGAAGATATTATACCATAATTTAGCCATCGCAGTGAAAATTTTAAAAATGGTGCCGTATCTATGTGTTGAACGTGATTGTTCGAAATACTACTTAGTTGTTTGAATTTTCTATACAATGAAAAATGTTTTTAAAAGATGTTTAAAAAAAAAGATAACTAGTCGGCACGAGTTCTAGATAGGCACTTTTGTAAATTGTTTATCCTCATAGTTTCTGGAAGGTAATTTCTAATTATCTATATACTACTAAAACTCTGAGATTGTTTGTGTGTGTGCTTGTCTGTAATCAAATACAGCAAAAACGGCGCACAATAGCGCGATATTTGTAATGAAATGAGAATAGAAACAGAATAAAACAAGTTTCGTTAAAATCGGGCCACGGGTTACCAAGTTAGCCCAGTTTTTCGGGTCACTTTTATGAAAATTTCTAGATGAATTTAGGTACATTAGATCGGTTTCTCTATCTGTCTATTCGTTTTCCACCTGATGAATGACTATAAAATATCTTCTATACAACAATATATGCACAACAGAAATTAAATGATGAGATGAAAATGTGTTATAACGCGCATAGAAAGAACAACAATAAAATGAACCTACAATATTATTGAGTATTTGCAAATAGTAACTATGGAGACGAGGTAATAAAATTAAAATCGAGGCGAGAGCAACAACAACAACATTTTATAAACGAAAACCTCTCGCCGAACATTGGCTATTATATTATTTTCCTGTCAATGTTCCCAT